CAAGTTCAAAGTCTAGTATTTCCTTTTTGCAGTGAAGGTCAGTGCCACCTAAAATAATGCCGGAAGGCGCTGTTTCAGGTACAGTAATTGTGGTGATATCACAAAATCCTGAACTCAAGACTTGGCAGGCAAATGGCGAAGGAGCCAGGTTTCAAATACTTAAGTTTAAAATTAGCTGTTTTCAATTTTGTGATTTGAAACTATATCCTTTTCTTTGCTTGCTGTTCAACTCTCGAATCTTGATCAGACTATTACATCTAGGGGGCTTTCACTCTTCTCGCAGAAGTGTGTATTAGGAGTAACTCCACTGAGTTCAGTGGAGTTACACTGGTGTAAAACTGATTAATAAATTAGAGAATTAAGCCCAGCATCTGTACATTTGCAAACCTCTGTTCTTGTTTTAGTGCAATAGATTGATTAAAGTGGTCCTTTTAATAGGATAAGAAGGTACTCATTATGTTACAGAAATTAGGTAGCTGGAAATAGCAACAGTATAAGAAGCTCTTTCTGAAGTAAAGAAGTCTGATATGAAAACGAATACTTACCTTGCCAGTCATGTTGATTTTCAGCTAAGATTTGTATGGTAAAACATAAATTTCACATGCATGACTTCTTGCAATTCAAATGGAGGTATCTGTTTTTTGTGATAGCTAATGGCCTTTCCTACTCTTGGAACTCTGTGAAATAGCTGAAATAGTTTTCTAAATGGAGTATACTAATCAGTATTGTAATGAGCCCCGTGTTTAAGCACTTTTAAAGAAATGGACCAACCCTCCTCTTCCACCTGTAAAAAAACAAAGAAACAAACAAAAAACCCAAACAAGAATCTGCTTAATTAAGTAAACCGTTTCAAAGCCCCATGCTAAGTAATTTTCCAGTGTCTACTTAAACTGGAATGACCTCAGACCGAACCTGTTTTGTGCTGTAGTTTCATTGTTGAACTGAAAACTGTAATATAGGAGAAGAGGTATAGGGAACTGTCCCTTTAAAAGGATTTTAATGACATTTATAGTGTGCAAAAAAATAGTTTGCAATTAGTCAGTATGCAGCCATTAAAAGTTGGTTCTACAAATAGTGAATGTTCTCATCAAAAGTCAAATCAAAATGAAAATATAGCCACTCTTAAGTTCCTTTTATGCATAGAATGCATAAGGGCTAGAAATACTGTAGTAATCACCACACAGAGTTAAGCCTGAATGTGCTCGCTGACTTTTCTGCTGCATCGTGCCATCAGTTGTATTAATCCCTTAATGACCTGCTCCAGCAAACTTGTTTCCATGTGTATGACTATAAGAAAATTTCCCCCATAACAAGTGAAACAAAACACAAGAGAACTTTCTCAACTTCTTGGAAGCAAAGAATATTTGTTTGTTTTTAAATAGTGCCCTAAATGTACCTATCTCTGCTGTATCGGGGTTAAAATGTAGCAAAATAAAGAGGCAGTAGGCAAAATTTAATGAAGTACAAAAGAGTACCTAATAGAGTAGGGTGTGATTTTTCTAGCGGTGATGCCTGCAGTTGTAATTCTATTTATTTGGGTCACCATCCTGTAATGTAACCCAAACTGAGCAACATGAACTAATAGTCATACTTATGATCTTCACCCTTAAAATTACATTAACTTGTTGATGTCTCTTTGCTAATGAATAGGACTGCTTAGTATAAGTCTTAATATAGGTTTAAGACTTTACTCATAAAACCTTTAACAAAATAACTTTTGACAAGTCCAAGTGGTGATACTGTATTTTATGGTATGTTTGGGATGTGAAGAGGCACACCATATATGGCTAGGTTCCATTTCCTCATACATGAGGCTGAAAATCCGAAATGGTGAGCACCTACAACTTCAGTGTAGTAATATTCGTGCACTCGGTACCTGTGAAAATCTGGCCCATTGTATTACTTTTCATATGTAATTTGATACAACTTTGAATACACATATAATTAAAAGTGTATCTCTTTATAAAAAGTACTTTTGCCTCTCAAAATCTAGCTCCCTATCTTAATGTTTAGATCAGGGATGGGGAACCTTTTTTCTATCGGGGCCATTAACCCACAGAAAAAATCACTCAGGCCACACACAGCCCTGCGGGGAGGGGGCAGGCACAGAGACTCAGGGTTTCCCCTAGGCTCCGGGGTGGGGCCAGAAATGAGGGGTGCAGGAGAGGGCTTTAGGCTAGGGTTGGGGTGTGGGAGCGGGTAAGGGCTCCAGCTGGGGGTGTGGGCTCTGGGCTGGAGCTAAGGGGTTTGGATTGCGGGAGGGGGATCAGGGCTGGGGCAGGGGGTTGGGGTGAGGGTGTGGGGTCTGGGAGGAAGTTAGGGTTTGGGAGGGGGTTCCGAGTTCTGGGGCAGAGAGTTCAGGGTGTGGGCTCTGGCCAGGCAGTGCTTACCTTAGGCGGCACAGTGGAGCTAAGGCAGGCTCCCTGCCTGTCCTGGCTCTGTGCTGCTCCCGGAAGTGGCTGGCATGTCCTGTCCCTAGGCAAAGGGGCCAGGCAGCTGTATGCAGTGCAGATGCGGCCCATGGGCCATAGGTTCCTCACCCCTGGTTTAGATAGTCCCATTGCATTTGAATGAAGTGCTATTTACTTATTAGCAAGTGTGTTTAAAAAAGATAAGATAAAATTCCTCAGTGTACATTCAGTACAAGTACTAGACATCCTGCATACACATGCAAAATCAAAAGCATCTTTAAGATGTTTAGTCCATTATCCTGTGGCCAGCAGTAGCAAAGATCCCATACAGGAGGACTCTTCAATGCATTGAATTCTCTGTAGTAGTTCTCAACAGCTCCTTGCAGAGCAAAGTAGTTTTTAATAAATAAATCTCTAGTGAGATTTTTAATAACTTGACAGGTGGAATTTCCTGAAGCTAGACTTTTGGAGTAGATTTAATGTATAGTAAAATGACTTCACTTTCCTCAGATACTTCCTTTGGAGGTGAAGGAGGCATATTTTAGTAAAACAGCAAAGTTTGAGCATTTATTTGGAGACGAGGAAGAAGGCAAACATAAAGCCTTTAAAATGAGCCCCACTTGGAGCATGGGGGTATGAAAAGAGCCTTGCTCGGAAGTTAATGGGGGCTTTGCTCCGTTCCTGAGATTTGGCCCTTACTGTTTCCTTCTGTCCATTCTGGTCAGAAGGAAAACAATTTGTTTTTCTATGATGATTACCCAGTTTTGCAGATAAAGAATGACTGAGCTAAATTATAATTGAAATTTAGGGCCTGCTCCTGGAATACTTAGGACACTGTTAACTTTATTCATGTGAGAATTCATCTTGGGTTCACTGGCGCTATTCAAGTGCAAATACAAATACTTGTGTTTGCAGGATCAGGTCCTAATTCTGACCCTGTGCTTTGCATAATGTGTAGCCTTACTGAGTGAGCCTGTCTTGTCGCATTAATTTCTGATGCTGTAGAAACAACTTTTTATGCTGCGGTGATGAGGACATAATTGTTCTACAATTTTGGTGCTCTGCAGCAGTGCCCATCTTAGGGTAGGGCAAGTGACTCAGCCTGGTATACTCTGATCACTGTATCATTCTTAGAAGAGCTGTTGGGACTTGCTGAGTTCACAGGCATTCTTATATGGTAAGCAGGTGTTTCCTTGTCTGACTAAATACCAGTCAGCTAGAGGCAGAATTTCTAAGGGCAAGACACAGTTATCATCAGGCTGATATTTGGCTCACATTGCATTTTCAAGACTATTCAGGGAATGGAGAAGACACAACATACTGATATATCTAACTAATTGTAAATCCTCATGCCTGGTCAAAACAACGCAATATCTTGATTTTTCAGAGGGGTTGAAATTGTAAGTTGATGGGAAGCTAGAGGTACTAAGTCCCTTTGAAAAAAAAGGCAGAAGTGACTATTGATTGAGGGGGAGGGATAGCTCAGTGGTTTGAGCATTGGCCTGCTAAACCCTGGGTTGTGAGTTCAATCCTTGAGGTGGCCATTTAGGGATCTGGGGCAAAAATCTGTCCAGGATGGTACTTGGTCCTGCTGTGAAGGGAGGGGACTGGACTCAATGACTTTTCAAGGTCCCTTCCAGTTCTATGAGATAGGTATACATCTCTACCCTGATATAATGCTGTCCCCAGGAGCCAAAAAATCTTACCACATTATAGGTGAAACCGCGTTATATTGAACTTGCTTTGATCTGCCGGAGCACGCAGCCCCGCCCCCCTGGAGTGCTGCTTTACTGCGTTCTATCCGAATTCATGTTCTATCGGGTCGCGTTATATCGGGGTAGAGGTGTATCTCCATATTATAATAATAATAATTAATTATAAGGGAGAAGAGCACCTGTATCATAATGGAGATTTGGCCATTCCTTATTCCTAGATAATCCCTTTACTTCGACTCCAAAAGTCTTGGAGCCATCTGTCCCGTGCATCAGTAAATGGGATTTATTTTGCTGCAAGCCTTGGAGGTAAAAATGGGAGGCTGCTGTTTCAAGAAATAATGTGAGGGTTGGGCTCTAAAATGCAAGACTTTTTTATTTTTATTTTTTATTTGTGGTTGTTATGGTAGTGCCTAAGGACCAACCGAGAATGGAGCCCCATTGTGCTCTTTTCTCTATCTATTCCCCTCCTGTTTGTACATAGACACCTACACACCAGCTTAGTAGCTCACATCCCCTGCCTGTATGTTACTGTCTATATTATAAATTCTGTTAGACTGATTTTAACTATCAATAATAACTGCAAGTCACTCTTTATGTAAGGTCAAAAATTCACCTATCTTGATTGCTCTGACACTTTTCCAGCAAATATTAACCAATTTAACCAAATATCAAAAATATCATAAGTCCTTCTCTCTAGTCAAATCTGGCAATGTTACATCAGACCATTTTTTAATTTCAGTCTTTTGTTATATTCTTACAGTGCCATAATTCCTGGTAATCACTCCTTTTTTTTATATACAGTTTTGATTCTTACACTAAAGTACTTTTATATTCAATAATGCTGAACAGTAACAACAAAATTATTTTTTCCTAGGTGTGCCTTGCAGTAGCACATTATTCCCAGCCAACAGATCTCCAGCTCCTTTTTGCATTTGAATATGTTGGGAAAAAATATCATAATCCAGGTAACCATGTAAATGTTTTTTTCTATTCTGTAATATGTGCATGTGTTCTAGTAAGGCTGACTACTTTTAGCCAAAAGCAATGGCAAGAGTGTTTTGAAGTTTGCTCTGGAAGGTTACTTAAATTGGTTTACAGGCTGCACCTGAGCCCCCTAATTTCTGTGTCTAAATTAATCAGTGTGATGGTAATTCATTATCAAAACCAAAACCATCTTATCTTTATCCAAAACAAAACTATCCATACCAGCATGAGTACCATTATCTCTCATTCCATCCTTAAATCCTTCTGGTGTGTGTCTATATTGATACCCTGGACACCTAGATAATCCCCGTTCAGGTAAACAAACCTGCCCTTCTCTTGGGAATAAGTCTCTCTTCTGGTGGTATTGCAGGAGGATTTTTGCAACTTGGGACTCCATACCTCCTTTCCTAGAGGCTTACTAGGTATAACCTCCCACTCAAATCTTCCACCACCCCTGCTGAGTTGGAGCACACCCTCTCTGCTCAAGGCCAGTCTCCAATTGAACCTTGTCAGTTAGGTAAGCTTGGAAAAGATGCCTTTGGAACTTGATTTCTAGTGTAACACTGCAAGGTCATTGTTAGTGCTCCCCAGCCAATACACAGCTAAAAGCTACAAATTCCATCACAGTAAGCCTGCAAATATGGAAAGTGCTGTAGATGTGATTCAGTAGCATTGACAATTTTATTTACTCTGCCATTTGCATTAGAAACAAATGATCATCTACTACAGAAACTGAATGGATGTCATGAAATTACGGATCCAAATTTTCAAACATGCTTAAAAGAAGTGTTTGCTCACTTCTGTATATGCTGCATAAGCCCCGTGTGCATGCACAAGGAGAGTTTCATATGTTACAGGTGCAAGTTGCAGAAATTTGAAAATGGGCAGTTATATAAAAAGGGGCTTAATTAAGGTCCACATCCTTCCTCCAGCTGCATAGTGCCGTAGTTAGCAAACTTGCAGAGAAAACCCCAGCTGGGAAGTGGAGAGGGGGAGTCCACCACAACCTCCTTAGAGCCACCTTTACCCCTCCAGGAAATATCCATATGCCACGTGGGAAAGGAAAAGGGCCAGTGGCAGAGCTACACAAAGTGGGTAAAATAAGCAGTGTGCTAATGTTGCCCCTGTAGAGTTACAGTGAACCAGTGACAGTGAAGCTAGTGGTCTTGCTGCATGGCAGTGGCTTGGAATAGGGGGGCTGAAGAGCATTTCAGAGGGGGAAGTCCCACTGTACAGTGAGGCATGCTCTGTGGTGATCATGGCTGGGATTCCCTAGTCCTCTGGTCACTTTTCCAGTACTGCATTCTACCCACGCTGCACCCCTTCCTGTCCCATAGAAAATGGAAGCTGCAGTGTTTGTCCATTATTTCTTCCCCTTCTCTGTGCTTTTGCACAGAAGAACAACATATGGGTCATATTGCATTGTGTTTTCTTCTCAGTGCATTTTTACCACATGGATTAATAATATTAGTATTTCCCACTGTGAAAAGACAACACAAAAATCACACAGTTGAGCTTTTTTTCTCACCTGCCCTGAAACTACTGGCGTTTTAATCATGAAGGGGGGCGGGGGGAATTACTGCATGCATATATATTTCACTGTTCTGATTTCAAGTAAAAGTTGAAGTTCTCCCAATCCCCTCCTGATCCCTTTACTCCCCCCGCTCCAAAAAAAATAATATTGTGAGCAAAGGGACAGATTCTTAAATTTATTGGGAGTTGGGCACCTAACCTGCTCAGACACTTTTGAAAATCCCACTAACTGCCTATATCTGCATCTCTAGGCACCTAATTGCCTTTGAAATCTGGTTCCAAATCTTTTGCAGGATTCTTAATTTTTTATGTTTTGTCTTTTAATGTGTGGGTGAATATAGAGCTTTTTAAATATGGGACTAATAGAACTGGCTTGACATTTTGGTAAGCTTCCTTGCAGGGTTTTGTCAGTGTGCATCAGTGCCCAGCCTGCAGCATCTCCTGCTGTTCCACTTCTGGGCCTACTGGACAGAGACTATCACTACTGGTACCAAGCTATGTGATGATTTTTGTGATATGCACAGATGATGATAGGACGAGGTTATCAAATTATTTTTAATTTATGACCTAGTCTCAAACTTTGACCAGATCTGCAGGAACTTGTCCATGTCCTATTTATTTTATAAAACATTAGGAAATAAAAAGAAGCATAAACAAATGATCTGGGCATCAGCATTATTTTTATGGCAGTGAGAGAAATTTAAAAGGACTGTTTTAGTATGAATTCTTGAACATAACTTTTTTCATGTTAAATTCTAATTTAAATTTCTTTAAGCCATCTGGAAACCAACAAAAAAAGAAACCATCAAATTAGCTTCTGAGATGCCATTTGTTCAGGGGTGTAATCTCAATTCCCCCTCCCCCAACCTATTTATTTTACATAAAAGATACCATGGTGATTGCCATACTAGAAATTCGTGTATACGTAGATAATCCGAGAATTGGTAGAGGATTAAAGCTTTGGCCTATTTAAATAACTGTATACTGGGTGTTAATTGAATAGCCTTTAGGAGCATTACTACTACTTCTATCTTGATTTTTGGCATAGGCTTCTTTTGGAAAGCATAAAAAGAGCGAGTGCTTCAGTACCACTGAAAAGATTAAATTGTTGATGTATAAACAGCAGGCAAAGACTTACGGGGCAATGATATAGCCATAATCCTGCAGTCTGATCTGCTTGGACAGATCCTTATGCCCTTGCAGACTCCCATTATAGGCAAAAGAGGCTGCACATATGGATTAGATTATAAAACTGGAGCTAAATTTGTGTCATTCGTTTACAACTAAAATCAAATTTAACTCAAAGTTTCAAGAAACAAAACGTAATTCCACTGAGCATGGTTGACCACCTTCTTGTCATACAAGGAGAGAGCAGCTGAATTTAACTGAGTATCATGCTATAACATTCTAGCCTGTAGAACCAAGGCTGTTCTACATAACACCCATTAGGATGAATAATTTATTGTGATAGGTTAGTAAGACTTAAACAATGTTTACCCTTGTCTTTGTGTTAACACCAAAAAGTAATCAACAGCCTCTTCCACATCTTTCCTGTCTGAAAGTAATAGCTTGCCTAGAAAGCAACCCCTGAAGAAAAACTGTTGAAACAGTGGAAAGGAAGACAAGGCAGCCCTGACTTGGAAGGGTTAGGACTCAATAATAGCTGATCTGTGCTCTGAATCTTTACTTTTAGTGGCAGATGGTAACTGAGCTACAAGAATAACTAACTTCTAACTTTTAACATAGAATTCCCTCTTTTAAAAAAAGAGTAACGTATTATAGCTGTTAAATATTGTATGGGTATGGTTTTGACATGTTTTAGAGGGAGACCCCATGAGTTAATGTGACACTTTTGTTTCCAATTTCCATTATCCCTTAACCTCTGTTTTGCAGAAACTGACACAGCACAGTTTTTCACTGCTCGGTCTGTTGAAACAGAAGGAAAGATACACTTGTCACTCTTGCATATTGCCAAACAGCACCACTACTTGTTAATCTTGCAAGTGGCAACACCCCTTTTAATAGAGAGACTCACCTACCTTTGTGTGGGAAGAGATAGCACTATAGCTATTTGCATGACAAAGAGCTGAAAGGGATGATTTTAAAAATCTTGCATTGATTATTTTCCCTTTCCTAGCAACAGTAAATGGAATAGACCCAGGAGGTGGGGGCAGCAGCAGCGGTCAACAGACTCCTTTATTTGAAACTTATTCTGATTGGGATAGAGAAATCAAAAGAACAGGCGCATCAGGATGGAGAGTTTGTTCAGTCAATGAAGGTTACATGATATCTACTTGGTAAGTTTAAAGAAAAAATGAAAAAAACAAGCTGATTTGACTCTGGCATCACTCTGGTGCTCTAGTAGCTGTGGGAGAGATCAGATACTTTTAGAAAAAAACAGCTGTATTCTGATGAGAGATGAGTGTTTGTAAAGGTTCAGAATTTTCTATAAAGGTATCTAAGGCAGTCTCCTTGAAGATATGCCACCAGAGTTAAAGCAACTTTACTATCTTGTGGATCCCATAGCTAACTAATATATTCATATCAAATTAAGTGACAGAAAAAAAAATATCAAGGTTTGTTTTTACTGTATTTTTCATAGTTTTTATCCTTCTGGTACAAACAGTTATTATTGGTTAAATTAACACAGATGTGCATGCCTGTAAAAGAAATATTAGCAAGATTTGAAGTTTTATAACAGGAAATGAGTAAAATAATGTGATCAGTTTGACCAGCACTGACTGTTGCTGCTAAAGTGCTTCTGTACACACTCATTTATCTCAGTGGCTCGTTTTTGGTCTCCATCCGGGGCTGGTGCACTACAGCACTAAGACTGGTAAACTACCAATGCAGCAAGTGGTACTGTGGATTTGACTTCCTGTTCGGGCCAGATTTTTTTTTTTTGGTCATGCTTTTAGATGTTTTGGTTGGAGGTGGGGAGAAGTATGTCCCTCTTTGCCCTTTCCCCCAGCACATACACTGCTGCAGCTAAGGATGGAGTGCAAAGGTTGTATGTTTTATTTTTCCTCCTAGTATCCAAGCAGTTGCAGTGGTGGGACCTAAGAGTGAGTGGCCAATCCACGATAATACCAGAAGTGCTAGTATCACTAGGCACATGCAGTCAGCATTGCTATCGCTATACTGTGATAAAATTATAGCCCGTATAACTTGGATTGTCATTCTGTGGCACGGGTTATTATGCACTAACACTCCTTGTTATGTCTTCTAGATTGTATCCTTTTTATTTCCAGAAAAATAGATAAAACACGTGAAAGAAAAATGACTTATCTGTTGTATTTTTCCCCCCAAGCCTTCCGGAATACTTTGTAGTCCCATCTTCCTTAGCAGATCAAGATCTAAAGCTCTATTCTTACTCTTTTATTGGAAGACGAATGCCCGTAAGTGTGAACTTTATTCTGTTGCTGATCACTGTTAATATTCATGACAGTGATATGTGTATGAGTGAACATGTTTTGTGTATTGTATGTAGATACTCATGCTGTCAGGCAATACTAACAAATTATCTTTTTCTGTTAGCTTTGGTGCTGGAATCACTCTAATGGGAGTGCTCTTGTGAGAATGGCCAACATTAAAGATGTATTGCAACAAAGAAAAATAGATCAAAGGTAAACAATAACCTAGAACAATTTCTTAACCAGACATGTATAATATGAGGCAAATAGTGCCTGTATGGGATACTTAGCTATACTTCATACTTGCGATGAGGGAGCCCCAAATCAGAATATCCTATAGCCCACTCACATAAGAGTTGCAGATTCCCGTTCAAATCCCTTCTCTCTCTCTCTCAGGTGGAGGAGGCACTTGAACTGAAGGTCTCCCACATCCCACGTGTGTACCCCAACCATTGAGCTAAAAGTTGAGGGAGCTCCTCCTCCTCCTTACCCCCCCCCCACCATTTTGAGTAAGCTCATCGATAGGCACCCAGTATGGTAGGTGAGCTGTGAGCACCCTTGCCAGATCAGGCCACATAGAGTGGGTAGGTGGAGGAACGCCTGTATTTCCCTAGTTTTTGCATCGTTCTAGGCCTTAGATATCCAGATACCAGGCATGGGGCTACAGTGCCACACCCAGAAGCAGAAATATAAGTGCTAAGATAGCTTTGACTGCAAAAATTTAGTGGCCGAGCGAGTGTAGTCAGCCGAGCAGGGTTTTTTGAATCCTACTGGGACCTGATTCTGGGATTTAGGTGCCTAAAGAGATAGTTAGGCACCTAAGTCTTTCTGTGAATCTAGCCCTTAGTACCTTGCAGAAATTCACACCGGCTTGCAAGATGTGGGTTGAGTATTTGTTTGGGTATTTTTTTTGGTCTGTGTTTTAATTTATTGGAAGACTTTGTAGACCTTCTGTTGCAACTGTTAGTGTATTTTTATTAACCTTGATTATAAAATTGGTCTCAATATACATGGAAAAACAAAACCAGACACTTAAATAAAAAGCAGAGTTGGGCCTCTAGTCCGCGTCTCTATTGGCATACACTTTTATATGCTGCTTTTGTATCATAGCTATTTTCAGAGCTATTGAACACTGAAAATTGACTATAGATCATCAGTTATTCAGCTTTTGTAATTGAGATACAATGTCCCTCAAACTTTTACTTCACATGTTGGGGTTTTGGTGGTCTAGTGATAGACATAATACTTGAATCATAGCTTTTCATCTTCGACATTACCTAATGCTTATGTTATTTGCTTCAGTTTCCCTGACTGTAAAATTAGGTTATAGGTTATGTAACTTTCTCAAGTCTGTAGAGAAAGCTGGTGCCAGAACCAGGATTAAACTGAGGAGTTTAGGCTTCCAGTCCTGTTCACAGATCACTAGGCCAGGTCTCGCCTTATATACACTGGAATATATTACAAGAAATACCACCTAGTTGAATACCACCTAAAGGCTTTGTTGCTTACCACTTCTGGACTGCTGTCTATGATAGCTGTTTCTTATAGATCTTTAACAATGTACTGTTTTCAAATTTTCAAATTAATTTAGCTCATGTCTCAACAATAATGGGAACTGAATGTTTCTGAAATGTGTGTTAACAATTCTGCCTCCACATAGCATTCCATATGACCAAAAATGCGTGACGTGTATTATAGCTGAATGCTAATCAGATGCTTGTACTCTTCCATTTTGCTGTTTGAGCAAATAGCTTTGCTATGTAAGATAGCTGCCTTTGTAACTACAAGGAAAACCTTAAAAAAAAAAAAGAGGGAAACTGGGCACCTGTTTAAGTGCTTTCAGTTGCTTGCACTTCCCTGTATTCTAAAGAACTTAATTTGAAAAGCTTTCCTCCATGTCCAATAATACAGTTTTGGGTTTTTTTTGTTAGGATTTGTAATGCAATAACTCGAAGTCATCCACAGAGAAGTGACGTTCATAAATCAGATTTGGACAAGTGTCTGCCTAATATCCAGGAAATCCAGGCTGCATTTATCAAACTTAAACAGTTATGCGTTAATGGTAGGTCACAATATCATTCTTCTGGTGGTGGGGTTTTTGTTTGTTTGTTTTTGAGGCATTGGGGGATATGGTTTCAAGAAAGCAATGTGTCAAACTTTGTTAGGAAGCAACTAACTTACCTGGAATTGAAATTCTATATAAAGTGCGTTCATGTGTGTATATTATAATATAGCTTCTGTAGATCTACATTCTCTTACTCCTCTTTGAGACCTAAGGTATAATCGAGCATGAGGTAAGCACATAAAATAGTCTGTGTACTTTTCTGAGGGATGGTGTACCAAGTGCCTTCAACTGCAGATTTAAAGGCTTGTGGAAAATTTTATGGGCAGCATAGCTAAGGGTAACAAAACTAGCTTAAGTAAATGGCTATTTAAAAATGCACCCAGACATTCCTACTCTTCTTGCTGCAGAACCTTTTGAAGAAACAGAAGAAAAATGGTTATCCTCGCTGGAAAATACTCGTTGGCTAGAGTATGTCAGGTACGTACAGATGTTATGACTAGAAAGTAATCATTAATAATGTGTCCTTAATTTTTCACCAATGTAAATATGCAATAAAACAAATACAGATGGGATTTGTATTTGGTAAAATGAATGAGATAAATATACAGGGATTCTCAAGGTTTACACACTTAAACATTCTGTGTCTGTTCACCTGAATCCTGAAAAGACATAAGTGAATGCTTAACTTTAACTACTTCAGTGGGACTTGTATGCTAAAAACCAAGCACACACACAAATCTTTGCAGGATCAGGACAATAATGGGCACCAGGACAAATGTACAATTAAGAGGTATTTCTGTGGTACTACAATCCTGTTGGAAACAGTTGAGATTTTTATATTACTTGAATATATATTAAATTTGGGATGAGATTTTCAAAAGTGCATAAGTGACAGGAGCATAGATCCCAATGAAAGTCACTGGCATGTGTGCTCCTAAACCTCTTAAGTATTTTTGAAAATCCTCATTTCTTAGAAAATGTACAGTATCTGTAGTCTTAATTGTTAAATTAAACCACTTTTTCTTTTTGCCTAGATCATTCCTTAAGCATTCTGCTGAACTTGTATATACGCTGGACAGTAAGCATGTCTCAGTAGTTCTGCAAGGTAATATAATTGTATAGCATGTTGTAATTGTCATGATTGGTAGGTTGGAATGTTAAAGCGTGGTTTGGTAAACTGCATTTGTGATCTGTATACTTTACTGAAGTGTTGAAAGGCAATGATTTAAAATATTTTCATTTAATAAAATTCCCTCCCTATAGTTGACTGTACCTGGAAATATTCCCCTTCCCCTCCTCCCTTTTTTTTTGTGTGTGTCTGATAATGCACATCTGATGTGATCAGATCAAAACTGTAGACCAGTGAGTTTGTAGATCAGAATGTTTGTCAACTCTAGCTACATTATCTTGGCATGTGATGTTGTCTTGGTCATTCCCCAGATCATGTGCTACTTCTAAGAATTACTTCAGTGTCGGGCAGTGTTGATTCACTGACTCTAAAATTCCTTCTGGAGGTAGTAATGCCAGAAATGGTATTTAAAATAGTACTCCATACCAATTCAGACTACCTCTAGGTCAAAAAGAGAGTTTGGAAGCTCTCCATTAATTTGGATTCCCTCCATTTCAGCCCATCTCAAATGGTAGGCATCTGATTTTTTGGACAAACACATAGCAGGTTATTCTTGAGTAAGGGTTATTCACATATCAGTACTGTATATAGTTGGGAATCTTAACTATAGTGTGAGGTTCACTGAGAGAAAGTTTCTGACTATATTGAAACACAACAGTCTTGAGATAGTGAATTTCGAAATTCACTAGAAGGAGAACACCAATCCAAATTACCAATTTCTGCCCTCTGACCTCTTTAATTATATACACATATATATATTCAAATGCTGTTAATGTTTTCCACAGAGGACGAAGGACGGGACCTGAGCTGTTTCGTAGCCTCCCTCATTCAAGTAATGCTGGATCCCTATTTTCGGACAATTGTTGGATTTCAGAGCCTGATACAGAAGGAATGGGTCATGGCAGGATATCAGTTTCTAGATAGGTGTAACCACTTAAAAAGAGCTGACAAAGAGGTAATTATGTTGTTTTGATAGCTAGATCACTTGCATGCAGTGAAATGACTTGACCCCATAAGCTAATGTCCAAAATTTTAATGTGAAATTTTTCAATACTTTCTAAAGATAGGAAGCTAATGTATTAAAAAAAAAGAATAATCATTAATCAGATGAATCTCCTTTTTATCCTCAACTGTTGTATAAGAATCATTAATACACTTGGTGAAATCAAATGTCACTGATATTGATGTTATAATCATGTTAGACTTGAAAAGGCTTATTCTGTCTTATCCCATGTTTTACAATAATTAAACCATTGGGTCCCAAGACTTTGACCCAGCAAGGATCTCAGGAGCCTCTTTTCTACAGCACCTGTTCATTTCCTCACCCCCTTTTTTTACATACAAAGCCAGACCAGTATGCGTCAGCAGTTATCACAATACCTGTCTGATAAAGAAGCATGTGAAGCAAAGTATATAGTCTGTTCTGCAATTTTCAAATTGCAATCTATGGCTCACTTGGTGGTGGTTCACGAATTGGTGGATGGTGACATGGTACCTGGCTTTGGTGGTTTTCAGACACTTCTACAGTATTCCAGGCGCTACACTGCAACAAAGAGACTGGAGGCCTGTAAAATCAGCTGGAAACAAGGAGGAGCCAGCCTAACACTGTCTCTTGGGGTGGCACTCAAGGAGAATAAAAAGAAAACCCCCTCAGGGATTGGAGCCACTAGCAGGAATAGA